ATGTCGAATATCTATTACGTAAATGTTTCATTGGATCTTTTGAAAACGAACAAGATTTTGAAGTTGATGAATGTTTGACTGGAACTTCAACACAAAAATTCGATTCTTGAATTTTCTTTTCAATTGGTTCAATAAAATCATCGATGTTAGTTTCTAAATTTTTGATAATTTTTTGTCACGTTCTTTCTCTTTTTGCATCAAATAAACCTCCCGCACTGTAAAATTTTGTGAAGTAGATCTAATTACATCATCAAGAGTTTTTAATTCGTCTTTTAATTTGTCTTTGTGCATTTAATCTTAAATTACTGTACGATAGTCTCCGAAAGTTCGCGAAACGGCTTAGATAATGGTTCCATTTCTCAGTATAGTTTATTAAGTTATATAAGCTATTGAAATCTTAAAAATAAGAAGAAAAAAAAAAAAAAATCCGTTTTGCAGGCAGTATTCCGTGTATCCTTAGGCCATCGATTTTTTCCGACCAATGTATCAGAACAATGTTTTATATACTTATCTGGATTGCTATCAATCCATTCTTTCAAATCAATTTATAAATATTTTGATTAGAACAAGTTATTTAATAAGGAATGAAATGATTTACCAAAAAATCATAGTGCAAACCTCAGATCCAAAAGAATTCTTTTGAGAAAAGTTTTTCTTGTCTTTCACTCAATTTTTTTTATCCAATCTTCAAATTTAGGAAAGTACCGAAAGAATTCATTTTTATCATTTGGTACCCTATATATAAATAAAATTTCTGTTAATTAAGTGGCGAATTTTGAAATTTCAATAAATGAACAAGAAAAGTGATACCAGTTGTTGTGAAACGTCCATCCAATCCATAGATCATTTTAATTATCACGATAACAATGAAAAAGAAGGATTTCGATTTATTTCTAGATTCAAATTGATCAATTGCGCCAATTCCTTGGAGATAACATGTTTCAACTAGATAAAACTAAAAGTCAAAATGTTATTTTTAGTAGTTTTGGGTATTATATAAATAAATTACCTGGTAACATAAAATCTCTGATGAATCGATAAAGTATAGGTGGAGCATTAATCTCAGGAAAAGTTATTCCATAAAAATTTTTATAAAATGCGATAAAATCGAATTCTAAGGAAGTTAAGAAATGCCATGATTGATGTCGCTGCGAAAATATAAGCTGCAATGTTTACTAAAGATGTTCCTTTGTTAGAATCTTCGAATATTTTAATAACAACATCTTTTTCAAAGAACTTCTTAACAAAATGAGGACCCAGATGTAATTTCATATCATTAGGTAATATACTAATGAAGGTTGTTCCTTTTTATAAAAAATGGGCAAAGTGGCGGCTCAGAAGGATATACCAAAGCATTACCTAATAATTCAGATTTATCTGCTAAATATCGGCTCGAAAAGATTCGGAAATAACCTGAATACAAAATCTTAGTCATTAAACATATATATAGTTGTTAACGTTAATTTAGAGTTCGATTGCAGATATGCTATATAATACCTTATATATCTATTATAATTCAAATTTGTTAGACTGTGGATACATATACATATTGAGATTTAATCGCCTCTGTTGTTTTATTAATTTGCTGGTATACATAG